AAACTTGGGTGGGGGGGGGGGGGGGTAGGGTGCGTCGGCCAGCTGGCCTCCACCCCCGTTGAATCCGCAACTGGGTATGCCAATATGTGCACCATCTAAGATTTTCGTTGCCTATATTTTCATCAGTCAATTACGGTGCCAGGGGCACAACACTTTATAATAATAAGTGTTAGCACATAACATTTATATGCATTGGAATTTTTAAAATTTGGTGGAAAATGGTGTGGGGGGGGGGCACACACGTTCCCCCTACTGGATCCGCGCCTTTATACTGTCAATAACTACGTTTGAGTGTGAAGTTGTACCATCATATTTTTATAATCGTGTCACCAATCAACAGATAACATTGTCGGCCTTAAAGAAGATGAATGTTTAAATACTCGCATTATGTTGATACAATTCTCCACCATCTATCATCCAATCAGAAACTGAATATTATTTTTATTAACAATTAAAAAAAAACGGTAACGAAACTTGTAGAGACAGAAAACTGTAATATACAGTGGCGGATCCAGAGTCTTTCAAACGGGAGGGTTATCTTATTTGTATGCTATTTTCTTATTTCAATTCGTGGTATGTATTGAACAACACTATGGCTAAACTTAGGATGTGGGGGCTGGATGCAATCTCCCACATTGGATCCGCCCTTTGACATTGAATGACTGTTGGGCAGAAATGGATCCCAAATTTTTGTTAGGAGATGGTTGGGGTTGGGGGGGGGGCTGGTCTAGCTACCAACAATTTTCAGTGAACACTACCTTAGCCACATCATGATTGGTGGTCCCTTTATTTATTTACTAATATCTTTAGCCAGGATGACACAATCATTTTAAAGAAATGTTTTTCATTGTGGTCCTGGAAAAAAATAATAATAATAATATTATTAATAATGATAATAACAATCATAATAACAATAATAATAAACAAAAAAAAAAAATAATAATGATCATTTTAAAGAAATGTTTTTCATTGTGGTCCTGGAAAAAAAAAATAATATTATTAATAATGATAATAACAATAATAATAACAAAAAAATAATAATGATAAAAAACACAAAAGAACACACCCAGAGTCAGGCATTAATAATCATAATCATCATTTCGAAACCCTTTTCCTCCCCAATTCCACTTTTTTTTTCTTTCCTTTTTCATTTTTTTTTCCCTCCATTTCCTCTTCAGAAATCACGAAAATGGCATACGCGCGCCCCGCTTTTGAGATGTCGCCGCCATCACTACCGGTTCTGATTGATAAACTAATATTTTCAAAGGTCCTAAAGGCCAACTTATATTAGGCTAATATTTCAGCACCCGGCTAAGTCCTGATGGGATAAATCAATGTGATTTCGGTAACGGGTGGTTTTGACGAATCTGCTGGGTCTGTCGGGAAGGGGAATTGAGTAGTTTTATTTTTAATAATCGTGTTCAGCTATTATTGAGTTAAGTATTGAACACTGAGGTAATGTTTAACAATGTATTGAAAAAGATAGATACTTGTGCTATTTATAGAAAATATTTTGTTGTCATAAATATTATTTTAGATATAACTTTTGAAATAAATTATATAGTTATTGACTTTCTTGTATTGAATGTAGTTGGCATTGACAGAAATAATGTGCGTCATTGCATTTCAAATCAATACGATATACAGCGCTTGTATTGATTCTTAAACATGTACGGTGAGCTAGTTTTTTTCATCACATTTTTGTCATAATAATAAAAACAATGATTATAATAACAATAATAATGATTATATATTTAATAATGATAAGAAAAAACAGCAGCAACAACAATAATAATAATTATAATAATTACAATAATAACAAGGCAATCTGAGATTACAAACCCTCGACCATCAATCGGGCCGTCCGGACCGCTTCCAGTCCGCCGGCCAGAATTTGACATAGGGTCGATCCGATCGAATCGGTCTGCGGTCGATCCGCTTAAGTCGGCCTAGCCAAACGACGATCCGCTAGATTTGGCTCTGTACATAACCGAAAAATATATAAATAACGTTCTAAAATCTGCAGCTTACTTTCGATCAGCACCAAATACAAAGAGGACCGAGATAAATGTAATATTGTCAATGTGAATTCAGTACCAACAAAACGCAGGCCGTGTATATTGGGCGAAACTGCAGCATACCCTCAATGAAATAATGGAATTCAATTCCCCAGCGTATTCAGCAGGCACATTATTTTTTGGAGTGCTGCCTGAATACGAGGGGAGATTCAATTATTTTCTATCATGCTCGAAGGTAAAAGAAAAATCGAATTTCTGTGACCTTGACCTTTGACCTTTTTATCGAAAATTTGAAATTGTGTTTCTTTGAGTATTCCACTAAAGTTTATGATGATATATTTATTAGTCATGCCTGACCTTGCTAACAGACAGACAGAAAGGCGGACAGACAGAGAGCAGTGAATAAATAACCTCCTTAACGAAGGCAATAATTAAAATAATTATAATGAAAACGCTGACTTTATTTAAGTAGGTTTAGCATTCCTTTCATTTTGCTGTGACGAACTACCATGAGCTTTTTTTTTGTGGTACACCACTACCCAGCACTCTACTATTTAAATCTGCTCTGAAGTGGAGGTGGTATGCAACTATGCTAATCCAATTCGGGAAAATATAAAAGTTGATTGAGTGGTTGAGTTACATAATATAATTTAAAAGACAATTGCATTGTTTCAAATACAGTCTTTTTAGCCTATTTTAAAAATTAAGATTACCCACCTCTCTACCAGTCTCTTATGCGAGCAAAAATGCTTTACTGAAGTGCAAAGGACCCAAACATTTTCTCGCACTTGGCCCCTTAACTCGTCATTACGCCACTGTCGAAATTCTAAGCAATTGTCATTTCCCTAAAACAAACCGTATTAATGCGTAGCTAATGAATAACTTTTGAAGTGTTGGCATAAACTTATGACGATATTGTGACGGTATAGTACTGTATATACCAACGTTATCTAGACTGAGATATTATTATACAGTACAAGCTTTGCAGAATCGTGCACTAATTTCTACTTGATACTACCGTCAATAAACAATATATTTTTCTTATATTGAAATATTGAAATTCAATCAAGCAAATAAGTAACCGAGTCGGTCATTTTTAAGGTAGGTTATGTTTAATAGGTCTTTCTTAATGTTTATCTTTACATTTTATTGTCTTTTATTATATTTACTGAGGGTCACAATTGAAATAAAGGGCGTATTTTCTAAAGCTTTATGATCCATTAGGGGGTCCCGCTCGGCCGATTTGGGGCCCATGGTCCTGCAAAAAAAGTATGTCAATTATTAATATTGTGTATGGTTTCGATCGAGTTCAGCTGCATTTGACCGGGCGTTGCACTTTTGTAGGATTGGTTCTCTTACGTCGCGTTTGACCAGAAACACAGAAGCGCGTCAAATTACATATTATAGCCAACAAATAATGTCATTAATTAAAGAGTTGATTGATTACCGATGATTATTGTGTTTTATTTTGTAACAGCAAAGTGTCTTCGGTATCCTAATAATCATGTATTCACCGATGTATGGCGCTACTGACTTCGTAGAAGAAGACATTATCGTAGACCAGCCGTTTGGTGGCGGTGTAAGAGAAGAAATGATACCGGTAACCGTAGACCAGTCGTTTGGTGGCAGTGTAAGAGAGGAAATTATACCGGTAAACGTAAACCAGCCGTTTGGCGGGGGTCCGTTTGCTGGTGGTGTAAGAGAAGAAATGATACCAGTCAACGTAAACCAGCCGTTTGTTGGTGGTGTAAGAGAAGAAATGATACCGGTTAATGTAAACCAGCCGTTTGGCGGCGGTCCGTTTGTTGGTGGCATAAGCGAAGAAATGATACCGGTAAACGATAACCAGCCATTTGTTGGTGGTGTAAGAGAAGAAATGATACCGGCAAACTTAAACCAGCCGTTTGCCGGCGGCCCGTTTGGTGGCGGTGTAAGGGAAGAAATGATGCCTTTAAATGTTAACCAGCCGTTTGGTGGCGGTATCAGAGAAGAAATAATACCGGTAAATGCAAACCAGTCGTTTGGCGGCGGTCGTACTATAGTCGTTGAGGAAAACGACCGCCACCACAACAGTGATTTTGATTTATGCCCGTGCGGCGTATGCCTAGGAACTTTATGCGGAATATTAACCTGTTGTATTTTGTGTGAAAAATGATAATAACCCAGGAAAGAAACTATGTAAGAACGTAGTAATCATTGCAGTAGGCCGAGGGATGAGAAGAAAAATAAGCCGTTTAAAAACAGTATTTTACATTTTGAGATTATCACATTTTCTAAGTTTGCATTTATCTTTATTTTTATAAATAATTTATTTATGTTATTTTTTTTTATTACGTAGGGTATTCTAACATGGTCATATATAATAGTATATAGTCCAATTCAAAGATTTATTTACGTCGGTGCTAATTCGAAGCAATTTTTCATTGTCATAGATAACCAGTATGTGCCATAACCAGATTAACCATTTCGATGTGTCTGCGTCAGGAAAATATCATAGGAGTGATGTTTTGCCTTTCCTGACTTGTTATCGTACTGAATACTCAGTACGTTTCCAAATACGTGCGAAAAAAAAAAAAAAAAACAAAAAAAAATTTTGTTTGTTACTAATAACCCAGATAGCAACATGTCATGTATGTATTTATGTGACAAATAAAATGAATCTGTTATAGTATAGTATGTCTGAAACAAGTTGACTGTTAGACATTGAATGCTACACGCGAAATTTGAGGTTGTTAGGCACTTTCAGGGGATGAAAGGGCATTTATAAAGGGGTGGGGAAGATTTTTCAAAGATAGATATTTTCCCCTTGTCCCCCAGTGGTTACGCCATCGGGCAGCATAGATCCAAGGAGTTATGAAAGTTTTTGAAGTGGAGAAGGGGTTGCAGGGTGTTGTGAGTCTGGTCATTATGATATCCTCCTTTTTATTATTGTCTTTATTTTTCTCTTCTCTTTTTCTTTCCTTTTCTTTTCCTCTTCTTTCTCTTTCCCTCCCTCTCCCATCTTTCTTCTCTCTTATTACCCAGCCCGGTACGACTGCTTGGTCAGCCCGGTAAAACCGTCAGGGGAGGGGCAGCTCCCCCCACCCGCGCCTGTTACGACACTGGCTAACACACCAATCATTCCCCCCCCCCCAATGAAAAATATTTTTCTACGCCACTGTTTAAGTATGACCATGCTCTGCTTCAACCAACTGTTAGACTGGTGACATTGCTTCGGCCAACGTTTGGACGGCCACTAGACGTATTCATCCCGCACGTGTCGTCACCACCACCCATATCCAGCTTTGATGGAAAAGTAAAATTAAAGGTACAAAGTCTATTATTTTTAAAATTGATGTCTTGACCTTTGACACGTTGCTCAACGAAGCTGCTGTCCAAAAAGAGGTATTTGACAAGAATCGGAAGCAGCTACGTCACAGTAGGTATTTTGCATTCCTGTATAAATTAAGTATTACTGTAGTTAGTGGAAGGCAACAGTGTCATAAGTCTTTTTACTGTACATGTATTACCCTTACAGTAATTACTGTGAACAAATTCAACAGTAACACGTGTTGTTTCTGTAACATTCTCTTATTGTAATCTTTTAATAACACAAATGTATTATTACTTAAATACTGCAGAAAAGAACTACGTTAAAAGTGAACTTACTATTTTGGAAAATATATTGAAGCTTTAGAAAATGTTACAGCTTTTTATTTACATGGCAAAAAAAAAATACTAGTAATGGACGGAAAGAAATGGAAAATACTTACCTGTGATGCAAGTGAGGGTTAAAATTTGGTCAAAATGATACCTGAAGAATACTCTTATGTCACGTCAGTCGTAGTTCATTCGTGGGTCACTAAACGGAATAATTGGTCTTTTAAGATGAACAGTTGTAATATCTTTAATCATAAAATACTTTTTTTGGTAAAAATTGTAACCGTAACCGACATGGTACGTCGTGTGCAGTCACTCGTAGGCCAATAAAAATGTTCAAATATTGAACTATTGTATTCTACTATTTAATTTCAATAATAACTTCTAAAAGAACATCGACTCGGTCAAAATGATACCTGAAGAATACTCTTCCGTCACGTCAGTCGTAGTTCATTCGTGGGTCACTAAATGGAATAATTGGTCTTTTAAGATGAACAGTTGTAATATCTTTAATCATAAAATACTTTTTTTTGGGTAAAAATTGTAACCGTAACCGACATGGTACGTCGTGTGCAGTCACTCGTAGGCCAATAAAAATGTTCAAATATTGAACTATTGTATTCTACTGTTTAAATTCAATAATAAATTCTAAAGGAACAACGACACTTTACACAGACGGCTTCGCTCGAAGCATATGGATTTTTTAAAAATTCAATATGTGTCAACAAGTATATTTGTTGAATTGGATTCACTGTTTTGTAAAGCTCTATTCACACGGACCGATTTATCTCCTGGATCGAGGCATTAATCTCCTAAAGCTCGTGCCAGACGGTCCAATTAGTAAATACACTTTGATTCATTTTGACAGGCGTATGTAGACACAGGCGTATGTAGACACCATAGCCACACTATTAAATTTTTGATAAATAACTTGTCAACTCATAGAACTTTTATGGACAAATAAGGTTATGCTGATACAGAATCTATTCCTGTGCAGGTCCCTATCATTTCCTAAAGGTCTATACTTTCTGTGCTGTGATTGGCTGATGAGTTCTAGATGTCCTCAAAATCTGAAGGCAAATAAAACATGTTCTATAATTTCCGGTTCTTTTTCTATCACTGTGGATACTCAAGAGGACCACAGGTTAAAGCAAAGGTCGCAGCATAATCACAGACTTGGGACTCAAACCAGGTACACCCCCTTAATAATTTTATACCCTGTATGGATATTTGAAGACAACAACTGGCCATGTGACGCAAGCTTTAAGGAAGAATTTGAGTGATTGCATGCCAGTTGCCATGGTCATGAGAAATTTTAATGAGAACACGTCTCTTTATCATTCCATTGGTGATTTAAAAAAAACTTCTGAAAAATAGAACTTGTTCTATCTTCCAAGCTATTTTTGGACTCCCTGTTGAGTGCATATTTCCAATGACTTCATTCATAACTCTCCTGTCCTCCTCCTGTCTCACTTGAAATCGGCAGAGTTAAATCGGTCCATGTGAGCAGATCTTTACACATACCCATGAAAAAGACATAGTTCAAGTATGTGTCTTTCTGAATGATTTGGACAGTTCAATAAGAGACAACTCTCTGCTTATACCCAATCTCTTCCAAAAGATGGTGCGGTATTGTAACATCCATGTGGAGTTCACTGATGGAATTGAACAAGGTACAAAGTGTCTGAAAAGATCCCCACTGTTCTCGGCACACAGAGTGGCCACCTACCTACCACCAGTTTGGGTAGCAGACTTTGGTTACCTGCTGCAATCAGTATTCAGTATAATTCATTTGTCGTTTTTAAAATTAATTTTACATTGAAATACATTTGCAAGCGCCCGCTCATAAATAAATAAACAGAAATAATAATAATAATAATGATGATTATGATGACGATAATGATAATAATAATAATAGGTCGACTTATAAGTTGCAAATAAACAAGGCAAATAAATTATTCCCCGTCTAACATCATTCGGGTAATTCTGAGTCAAGTTTTCGGGGCTTAAATATTGATACTTATAAAGCCTTAAACTACTATACTACTACTACAACACCAAACCGGTAGGCCTATTTCAAGTTTTCGCGGTCACATAACTAGCGTGTACATGTACCGTTGAATGCTCTGATTGCGGATGGATAAACTTACGAAATTGATCTAGTGGGGGTTATGGATCTGAACTGCTGGCTTCGTGACATTAAACTGAAGTATTGGTCGACATTTATACTCTATTTTGATAGCACATTGTACGGTGTATATATAAGGCAATGGAACGCAATTGGATAATTTAATATTGTACGCTTTCCAAAATTTGTTTCAATTAGTGTCATTCTATTTGTATTGATTCTATCAGGCTGAATAAACTATATATCATAACAATCTTTCCTAGATTCAAAACATCAATGTAAATTAACAATTAACATAAGCACCACTGACAGAAACCCATCTTCAGAGAAACTATACACATGCTCAGTATTTCAATACGTATTCGTATTATTTCTCCTGACGCAAATGCCATCAAATTAGCATTGCAGTATCCACTGCTGCTTGGGGATCGGATTCATCACTAGCCACTAATGGCAAGTACGGTGGTCTAATAGTTAAGACAACAGGCATTTTTTTTCGCACGTATTAGGGAACGTACTGAGCATTCAGTACGTTAACATGTCAGGTAGGAAATTTCATTCGTATTTTTATTTCATCGAATCATCTGATATACCCATCCAAACATTATTTAATTCTAAAAAAAATCTGATGATAGCCTTACTTAACTTCTTTGCAAAACTCTCAACTTGTTACTTTGCTTGTATATTGCTTTTCTTCTCAGTTAGTAAGCGCTGCAAGTTTTTTTTTTCTGGTTATTGGGTCCACATGCTTAAGTGTTGCTACCATATTGGCGCAGTAGCAGACAACCCCACCCATTTATACTCCTCAGAGAAGCAATGAAGATAAAGTGTCTTGCTCAAGGACACACGCAAAATGCACAGTGAGGGATTACCTCATACATACATATTATTTTTTTGTGATTTTTATTTTTCTTTTCTTGCTTGCAATGTGACTTTTAGGTATTTTATCAAAATGTGAAGTACTGCTTTTTAGGACTCTACCGGAAAAAGCTTGCGATGCTATAGGTTTTGGTTTCTTGTTCAGTTCATTTTTAAACTCTTTTTTTATAACTTTGTTTTGATTGAAAATAATAAATAAATGTTAAACTAACAAAAGATATTACCGAGTCTTGCAT